TCCCGCTGATTATAAATCAGCTGATTCTGTTCCCGCTCAGCTCCTCCTTGAACAGTTGCCGGTTTCTTCCTGAGCATCATTACAGATATAATTGTTGGTGTTTTGTGGTGCTGAAGCTGTTGTCTTGATTATTATTTTTGAAAAACCCTCATTATTCACCCACGTTTATCTCACATTTGAATAAACCAGGCTGAGTGCGTGTGTGCAGGGGCTGTTTAATCCAACAAAAGCCTGAAGAAGAAAGAAGCACCTGCTACGTGGTTTTACTTTTTCATTTTGCAGCAAACAAACACGCCGTCCTTCCTCCTCTGAGTTTCCCCGTACTCACCACCAGCCCTGACCCCCGCTGAGCTCACACAGGCTTTCTCTGTAAACACATAATGCTGACTTCCTGTGAGACGTGCAGGCCCAGGCTCTCACCGGCCACGTGAAGTTCGGGGTATGATGCACGTTAACCAGCCACTTCATTAGGTACAGCTACTCCACGCAGACGCTGCTGGAGTTAGAGCCGCTCACAATGAAGAACGCAGCACGTCTCAGATCAAACGGGTTTCTCGGACCTGATGATGCGTTCACTGCACTCCCACGGCCTCCACAGTCACAGCTCAGCAGAGCAAGCGGACAGTCACGTGATGGATGCAGCACAATAGCAGCAGCATCGTGACCTGATGCAGTGTTTCTGCACCTTATTCAATAGGTGTACCTAATAAAGCGTCTTGTGGATGTGTTATGGTGAAACAACCTGAAAGTTACCTCAGCACTGCAGACGTGCCACAGTGGCCTCGCAGCACGAGGTCTGTGGATCAGAAACACGGCCCCACAGCTCGCCGTGTGCAGCAGGTCGTCCTGCATCCTCCTCTTATCTTTGTGCTCTTATTTTACTGCAGTGAAGAAGAGCAAACGACCTGCAGGCTGTTAGCTCAACATAGTTTGTTTGCAGCTGTAAGGAGGTTGGACAGACGTCAGCACGTCGGAGTGAGAGCGTCTTTCATGTGGTCGAGCTGTAAGTGTGACCCTCGCTCTGCTGACGTGACCTCAGATCAGCGTCTGAGACGCTGAAATAACAGCAGACGTATTCGTTCTCCTAAAGTCCTCAAGTGCTACATTTGAAGTGCACGCTGCTGCACAGCAGCCGGCAGCCAATCGGTGGCTTATGTTCAGGAAGAGGGCGGGGCTTGAGTGTGCCCATTAGTGTGAAGCTTTCAAAGATGTGTGAGTGATGTTGTGCCCTTTAATGGACTAAAGCGTCTGCCTGTAATCACTCCGACTCTCTCTCAGCCGTTTAATGTCTTCAGCCAATATTTGCTCTCTCTCGCTGCTCTCCATTTAAGGTCAATTAGACTCGCCCCTCTCGCTCTCTGTTCAAACACTAAGGCCTGCTGCTGTTTCCACACAAACACACCGATCACTCCCAGTGCTCCCACTGCTGCTCCCGGTCACGCGTGCAGGAGTCTGTTGTCAAGATGCTAACAGCTGCTGCACAGCTGGATGTGTGTTCACAGTTCAGACAGACAGAGGAGGCGGGGACACAGACTTCACAGATTTCTCTCTTTATTTGATAATTACATTAATTATTCAGGTATGATGCAGCCAGACAGCTGCTGATTGGTCCATCCAATCTCTCAGGTGAAGGCCAGGTGATAGGGGATTGGTCCACTGGTCTTAGGAAGGCGTGGCCTCATCTGGAAGCAAAAAAGAAGAGACAGCAGGTTGGTATCCAGGTTAACTGGTACAGTTTGTAGGTGTAGCTTAAGCAGGTGGTCACGTACCTGGGGGGGCTTTAACAGGAAGTGAGGCCCTTCCAGTAGAAGTTCTTGCAGCCGGCCTTGCGTTCGCGGGGGGGTATGTTGTTGGGTTGGTCGGCAGACCGCTCCAGGTTCATCCTCCCTCCTGTCGCCTCAGCTTCCCGCTGGACGTCGGCCTCAGGCAGAGACATCTGAGCGAGCAGGTCCTCCACCGCACGTTTGCTCCACTCCTGAGGATCCAGAAACCAATTTAGCACCAAAGCAGACCCTTCAGCACAGCTACGAGCAGCTAGAACAGTTTAGATCACTTTTTGGAACCACGTGGTGCACCTGGGAGAACAGTGATGAACGAGTTTAGAGCAGCTCAGAATGACTCAGCATGGATTAGGACACAACTAATAGTAACCAAGCAGAAGATCTCAGAACTGTTTAGAGCAACTTGGAAGTTTTTCTGGGATCTTCCCAAGAAGACACATTTGATCTGAACTGACCTGCTGTTTCCTCCAAAACATTAATGTGGATGAAAAGAGAAGAAATCATAAGAAGAAACAAACTGTCCAGTTTTAACTTCTATTGTAAATCACTTTTTGTTTGTATTTTTGTTTTTTCCACTTTTGTGTCTCTATGATGTCACGGAGAGCAAATATCCTGATATAATCATCTCGGCAAACACAAGCCCCACCCACACATTCAGCAGCCAATCAGAGTTGGATTCAATGGAGGCAGATGGGAAAGGGGGAGGAGCTGCACCAGTGCCCTGGATCAGATAAAGAAGGATTATTCTGAGCTGTGAATCATGCAAAGCTGCTCTGGCAGAGTTAAAGAATAGAAATATGGAGCTGAAGCAGAACTTTGAAGAAATACTTGGAACCCTCGAACTGTCTTTTCTGCTACCTTTGCTTAGCATAAAACACGTTGAATAAGAGGAGACAGCTAGCCCGGCTCCAGAGATAATAAAGCATCTCACTAACAGAGCCTCATCATCGTGTCGCTTTAATCTGAAGGGAGCTGTTTCCCCACTGTTCCTTCAAAGTAAGGGCGCACTAAAACGATGCTGCGAGCTGTCAGGGTGCTCGGTCTCACCTGTGACAGGAACCCTGCGCTGCGAGGTCGTTGCAGCAGCCGGTGATTGCGCAGCTCCAGCTCCAGCTCCAGGTCCGGGTCCTGCAGCTGGTCTCTGTCTGGCTGAGAGGAAACTCCGGTACTGCACAGAACCAGTGCCATGAGAACCAAAATGGCGGGACAACGTACACACTGCATACCTGGAGGAGAGCAAGAAGAAGACGTTAAAAGAGGAAAAGAACCAAGAAAAACAGAAGAGAAGGAGAAGCTCCTACTGGTGCTGGTCTGGTTTCTTCTGCTGGTCCTGGTGCTGGTTCTGGTTCTTGGCTCTCTCTGGTCCTGGTGCTGTGGGTGCTGCCCTTTTGAAGCCTGGTGCTCCTCCTCCTGTGGGTCACATGACGCCGCGTGGCTGATTGACAGCCGGCGAGCTGCAAGGTGATGAAGGAACTCTGACTTACAAGTTAAACAAAAGTCCATTAATCCTTATTGACTTTAAATGGAAGCCGAGCAATAAAACAATAAACCTATCAGCAGCAGCGCGCCGCAGCTGCCGCCGCTCATCTCCGGCAAATACAACAGCGGAACGTCGGGCTGAAGAGGACGGGAATTAACGGAGCGTTCAGAGGATTAGCAGACTTCATTAGCACTCGCTGATATCTCCATTAAACAAAGAGGCAGCAGCAGAGTCGCCCACTCAACATTTAGTCAGAACAAACACGACTTTTATACCGTCGAAAAACACTTTGTGCTGCTTTCAAATGTTCTTCTGCAGGGAGACGGAGTGGAAATGACATCAGGGAATCCCACCAACACGGATGACTCAACGCAGTCCCAGCAGAGCGTAAAATAACACTCGATTCAAGTCCAACTTCAGAGGAAGCACTTTAGATAACGGCTCGCAATAAGCAGCGCAGCTCTTCACGATGCACACGCCGCGAGAACAGATCCTGATATTATATTTCAGGAGGAACACGACTGATCTTCCTCAGGGGAATAAAAGCAGGAGCGTTAAATGTTCACATTTTACACTTTCAAATATTTGTGCTAAATCCAGTCTGCCCAGTTTAATGAGCAGAACAAAAAAAAAGGAAAGACGTTTTTCTCCCTGCTGTTTGGATGAGTTGTTAGCAGTTTGGCTAATGCTACAGTAACCAGCACCAGGTTAGCAGTGACCCCTCTGCCTCTTTGCTACGAATTTAAGTAAAACTGATGACATCACTCCAGATGAATAAAACATGGGTGAATTTGATGACTGTTCTACTTTCAAGTTTCAGAATGGCCGAAGCTGTTTTCAGACGGCCATCTTTGTAGTCATAATAATAACAGAAACGTTGATTTCTGCAGTTCCTTTAACCCAAGGACCTTTACAAAAGAAAAGGAATAAAGCAGCTCCTCCTCACTCCACCCCAAACCTGCTTCTTCCTGTTAAAAGGGAGTTCTTCCTTCCCACTGTCGCCAGGTGCTGTGAGTTTGTGCTATTTAAGTACATTTGAGTTGCAAATTGAAGGATGAATGAGTGAATCAGGAGCATGTTGCATGTTTTCTTTTGCACCCACATTATTATTTGACAGTTTTATTGATGACATTTACAAACCCCCTGCCCTTATATGGTAGGGGTCTCCCCCATCAGAGGCCACCATTCTGCTAAAACCACTGCAGAAACAACAAAGAGGTCAACTCTGCCTCTAGACTTCCAAGATCCCGATCTGATCGAGTATCTGTGGGATGCGCCGGAACAAGCTAGATCCAACGTGTGAGAGCAGACACCCACCGAGTTCCCGTGCCTGTCTTTCATGTGTTTAATGCTATCTCGCTGGCTGGTCCCTTGAGGACAATAAAGGCTATCCAATCCAGCCTGATCCAATCTGGTGCTGCGGGATGGATTATCTGCACAAACACTGCAGCTCCCCTCATTGTTCCTCTGTGACCTCTGACCTCTCTCTGCTGTGGGACCTTTTGCAGCTGATTATCACTCCACAGTGCTCTGACATTTTTACTGCAGCGCCTCGTTTCACTGAGGACAAACTGACACTCTCAGGCCTGAATGACACAAACACTCACAGGACGTGTAACAGGTTACTTCTGCTTTCCCTTCAGCCTCCTCTGCTCACAGCAGCCGCGCTCGTACGGGTGTGGAGAGTTTTGTAGTGTTGTTACTGGCTTTTAAACAAAAACAGAACACAAAATATGACAACAACAGTTTAAAGTTATTTAAAGTGAGCGTGCTTGTGCCCGGTGGAGCTGCTCTGGCTCAGCCGGATCACAGCGAGACAACACGTGAAGGTGGGATACGACACAAT